ACATGGATGGTAACGGTGGAGCGTATCTGCCACTCCCCCGCCGCCACCGATGGAGGAAACAGAAGTGTGAGCGCTAACTAAACTAGCATCAGCAGCCAAGTACTGCCTGTGTGTTCTGGACACTTCCACCCCGTCAGAGCGCTGCCCTGGGGTGGAAGTGTCGCCTGACCGCGCCAAATATTCTGATATTCATCATTAATTGGGCCTGAACATCCAGAGAGCAGAAAGTGCTATTGGGATCAGCCCTACCAGATAGATAGATAGAGAGATAGATAGATACAAACAACTTTATTGGTTCCTTTGGTATGAACCTCAGGAAAATTGCTGTACTAGCAACAACAACACAAGACCAACACAACATTAGCAGCAATAATCATTATAATAATAATGGATATAGTACAAAATTGCCAAAGTGCTGAAATATTCCACACAGTCCGGTGATAGAGCATGATGCTCCATCTCACCCCAATTAGTAATTAATACTAGTTATTATAACAACTATGAACAATGATTAACAACTAATGAACCTTCCAGCATCAAGCCCTCCTTGTATCTGGACCTCCATCTTGACAATCCGACAGCCTTGCTATCCAACATGAAAGAAGGTTTTACATTTAGTGTCGGATCATCGAGTCACGACTGTAATCACAGCGATCAAGTTCAGTTTCTTGTGTTTTCTGAAAAATCTGAGAACTTTACTTAAGCCATTATTTTAAAAGAGTGTCGATAATTAAGCCTTTGTTTCAGGTTTATACTACGCTGCACTATACGATCACATACAGTTTGTGGTTTCATATTCCTGTTGGCAAATGTTAACAAAACTATTCTGTAAAACCAAGTCAAAGACCTGCATCCTTCCTAAAATGGAGACAATGAATAAAAAATAAAAGGAGAAAAAAACAAATCGGACAGGTTAAATAATTAAGTGACTGGGCATTAAAGAGGTGAGTCAGTGAGACGACACCTGCAGCGCCACATTACTACTAAGGCCAAACTTTAGCTGCTCAGTCTGAAGTTCTGTGTCTCGTGTGAACGCAGCATTAAAAACAAACCAAGACACTCGGGCCTTTATTGATGTGTAAGCAGCAGCTTCTATTTTTACTCGGACACAAGAGTCGAGAGGCCAGATCAGGATATAGCGGCTGGGGCGAGGCGGGGGGAGGAAACACTCGGCTGCTTATAGGGCGGCGGATTTGTATTTCCAACCCGCAGGCTTCCCTGAAGCCAAACTGGCCGAGTGTGTCGGTATGTGACATACAGGCTTCGGCTCATCTTTCAGGTTTGACCGAGTTTAGGAGACGAGAAAAGAGTTGAGCAGCAGCAGCAGCAGAGCTTTTAAAGACCTGGCCGGTCGGGAAACTCGCACAGACCTGCTGTGAGGCCAACGTTACGACCACTATTACTGATTTATCTTTAATTCTTTCATAAAAGATTAAGTTCACTAAATAAATCCTCAGTTTTTCTCTTTTATCTTCTACAGTGCTTCCTTAACTTTATCTCATGCTCCTCTTTGGAAAGGTCTCCTATACAATGTTTAGTAACGACAAATAAATAAAAGAGAAAGTCACAGTAAACAGTATTTCATTCACCAGGCATCAGCAACAAAACTAGCTGCTAATTCACTGGACTATACACCAGGTAAGAGTTAAAATAGCACCTCGACCAGAAAGCTTAGTGAGTGAAAATCTGGTTTTAAGCCTCTGAAACCCAAAACCGGTCGACACGTTTGAAAGGCACATTATCTTTAAAAACAAGAAATCACCAAAGTGACACCACTGATTGGCCAGAAAATGTAAAAACTGAAAAAAGATCATGTGTGACTTCCTGCTCTGCTGATAAAATGAACCACGTCTAAGCTTAAATTGTGATGTTTCATCGAAGCCATTTTGCTCTACATTTGAAAATTCATGACAAAATTACCCTTTGTAATAAGCAGATTCTGAAAAATAGTAAAAAACTAAAACAATTCTGCTTCTAGGTGCAAATATGGAGTCATGATTGACTCAACTGTTACTACCAGTCATGTGGAAAAAAACCCAAACCTGACTGTTGAACTGAACTGCAGGCAGTGCTTATGGAGCAGAGAGGAGTTTAAACCGAATAAAGCCGTCGTACTGCACAGACGACGTTTCTGGGAAAATAAAAGTCTGACTGACAACCAGGAGAAGTTTATCTGAAAATACTAAAAACAATTAAATGTATTATTGTGTCTGTGGCAGCTACTGCATGAATCTGAATTTATTCCAACTTCATTTAGTTATAAGTTTTCCTGTGGATGTGGGAGAAAACAGAGTTTTCACAGAGAAAGTCAAAATATGTTAGTTTAATGCCTTAACATGAGAATTTAATAAGCTATAAAAGCGCATTTGCAGATATATACAGACACGTGTGAATGCAAATGCAGCATTCACGTTACTGCAAGCGGCTTGAAGTCTATTTTTAGATCAACAACAGTCATAAATGAGTATCTGCAGGTTATCAAGATGTGCACGAGTAAGTATGAACTCGCTGTGGTGCTACGTTAATCGTGTCAAATGATTTTTTGCTTTTCTAATTAATAAAAAGCTTTAAACTCCACATTTTGTCCCGACGTTTTAGCTCTTTTCTGCCGTATTGTTTCAGTGTTGGTATAATCAGGCAGGTGTCAAATCAAAGTCATTGTTTTGGTATCATGACAACACGACCTGACAGACACCAGCTGACTGAAGGTGGACTAAAGAGAACCGAGTGTCAGGACGCTTCAGCTTAAACTGGGGATTTAAACCTGGTGAAGTTCTGGAGCTGCCACAGTAAGAATAAAGGCAGATTTATCAAAATATTGGAAACTCATTGTTCTCTATAAATTGCCTTTTTTTCTGAGTATCTGTTTCAGAAAACTAAAAATATTTTGCTTAACATTATAGAAAACTGGAAAGCAGATAAATGTCCACTTCTGAGAAGTTGGCATCAATTAGGCTTTTGCATATCTGCCTAAAAATGATAAATTATCAACGTTTCTTCCCATTAATTTTCAATCAGATGACTCATACTTACAGTTCTGTTTCATTGAAAATCAATTGATTGAACAGAAAAACACCAGAAAAACAGTGAAAAATTTCCTCCAAGTCAACATGCTCAAATTTTTCAGAGTATCAGAACAAAACACAAACATACTGTGAAAGCTGGAAACTAATCAATATATATTTACTAAAAGCTGGAAAAAGTGAATTTTCAGCATCATTGCTTAAAAAATTAAATGATAGCCAGCAAACAATTTTCCAGTTTTTGGAAAATAGTGAAAAATAAGGTCAATATTCAATAAAACTCAGGCGGAGATGCACAATTTCTTGTTTTTTCTGTCTCTGACTTGCAGTCTAGTTATGTTTACTGTAATAGAACCAGGAAATATATTCCCATCTGAGAAGCTGGTATCTGTGAAGCTTCAGCATTTTCTATTTATTTTTGGCTAATTAACAGTTTTTGAGTTAATTAGTGAATCAATTATCAGTATATGTGCCAGTATCAGAAAATAGTGTATATGTTGTTCATTAATTTGAGCGTCAGTCTGTTTACAGAAAACTGGATTAGATGATTAGAGAAGCTGATAATACTGAAATATGTATTTTTGCTTAAAAAAAAAAAAAAAGCAGAATTTTTGCCAATTTACCAGCTAAATGTCAGAAAATAGTGGAAGAAAATATGCACGAAAGGGCTTTTTCCTGGGCCTACTTGTGTGTTCTAGAAAGCTGAAAACCAGCAAAATAAAGAAGTTGGTATCTGTGACAGCTAATTAACTTTTTTAAATTTACTTAATTACTGATTCAATTATCAGTATTTTTGCTTAAGTATCATAAAATAGTGAAAATTTTGTTAAATATTCCCTGAAATCCAAGAGAACATAAACTACAAGCTTTCCTTTTATGAGTCTTAAAAACAGAAATGCTGCGTTTACTGTTAGAGAAAACTGGAAAACGAATCACATTTGACAAGCTGGTGACGGTGTTTAGCTTGAGAATGATGTTTTGGCCAATTACCACCTAAACGTCAGAAAATAGTTGTTATTCCTTGAAACCAAAGTGAATATATATAATTTGGCTTTTATTTTGAGTCTTTATGAACTAAATTTGCTGTGTCTACTATTATAGAAAACTGGAAAGCAAATAAATATTCACTTTTGTTTTTGTTTTTTTGGGCCAAGTGATTCAATTGTCAGTTTTTGTCAATTTTTGTCTGCAGACTTTTGCCCAAGTGTCAGAAAATTGTGATTATTCCCTGAAAGCCGAGCGAACATATTCTGAAAGCTTTAATTTTCAGCATCAATCTTTATAAATGCTGTTTTTACTGCTGTATAAAACTGAGAAACTAACAGATATTCATATGTGACAAGCTGTTGACGCATCATTTTCTACATTTTTGCTTAATCTCAGTGATCATTCTCGGAAATCCGGGTCATTATAATGAAACTGGCCATCATTTTGAGTCATAATAAACTAAAATTGCTGCGATAACTATTAAAACAGTGGAGAACTCATGAATATTCACATTTAAAAAGCTGGTGTCAGTAACATTTAAGCATTTCTTGCCTAAATAATTAATGCATTAAGAAAATTTTTGCATATAAGCTGCATTTTTAAATGAGTGCACATTGTGACTATGGACTATGTCAGCTAAACCCGAGTGTCTCAGATTTGGGTTTTAAACTGAACACTACATCTGAGCAGGAGGCCTGATGAACATTCAGTCCAACCATTGTTTAATATGAGGCTTTGCAGCGCCGGACCGGGTTCTGATTCGGAACCCGTCGGTGGTACACGTTAACAGAACCCAGAGAAAACGCCCCGACACGTCCAGTCCACAATGACATCGCAAAACAAACCGATAATTTCACAGGTTTAACGTCAAATGTCGTGCAGCGGTGTGAAGAACAGGCTAACGCAGCTAGCCGAGCGGCTAACAGCCCAGTGGAAGCTAACCTGCTCAGGCTGTGGGTCGAGTCAAATGTGAGAAATGTCGTGTTTTACCTTAGAAATTCGTTTTAAAGCCATTGTGTCTGAAGAGGGACCGGCTGTCGAGGAGGAGGTGGTAGTGGTGGAGGAGGTGGTGGTGGTGGAGGTGGAGGAGGAGGAGGAGGAGGGCAGGCCAGCTAGCTGCCGCTAACTAACTAGCATCTAGGACTTTGCTAGCTTTTGTGGCTTTAGCTTGAGGCGCTAAACTGGCTAGCTGAGCTGCGCATACACCGGTTAAACTGCAACGGTTTTCCCGTTAAATGTCGTCTTTTTCCAACTCAGACTCGCGGCTGACTCTCCGGTACGTCAGCCCCGAACACAGGCTGACACTCCAATAACGGACCGGAGCGACCGCAGCGGCTCAAAATGTCTTCCGTTACACAGAGAACCGGGAGCAGGAGGTGTCACTCCGACTCGGTTTCCAGGCGCCGCGAAATAAAACACAAACAACATGGTGGCGGCGGCGGCGGCAGCAGGACCGGATGAACCTGCTGCAGGGTCACAACAGCGCACTGTCCTTATTTCATTATACCAGTAAAATCTACGGGAAAACAATAATAGAAATCTATAACAACAATATTTAATAATAATATATATGCATATATAGATAGGTGTGTGTGTGCATATTGGGTATACATTTGTCTATTTTGTGTATTATATGTGTGTATGTAGTTTTACATGTATGTGTGTATATATGTGCATAACTTCATATTAGTGTATTGATTTATTTTTTGTCCTTTCTTTTCTTTTTGTGCATGTGCTGGTACACTGGGTTTCCTGCAATGGTGTGGACATGTCTGAAATGAATGAATTAATGAATCAATCAATTAATCAATAATAATACAGATAATTAGGGAAGGTTTCAGGGAACAATGAACATATCAAAAATGTCAAACTGTAAACTTTAAATATAACAAAATTTCATTTTTAAGCAAAAATAAATAAATAAACAAATAAAAAAATCTGAAACCTCCCTGATACCAGCTTCTCAGATGTCAATACTGGTTTGTTTTCCAGTTTCCAACGATGGTAAACAAAACTATCCTGGTTTTCTATAACAGTCAACACAGCATTTTTGGCTATTAAAAAAAAAGAATTCCACTACTGTCTGTAAGTATTGAGTGAATGTTTACTGGCAAAATACTGATGAATGATTAATTAATGAGGTAATTTTTAAGCAAAACTGCAACCAGTCAATCAATCAATCAACCAATCAATCAATAAATAGCCCTTCCCCCAGCATTTTAAAAGTCAATATTATACATACAGTTTCTGAAATATTAAACTCAGCATTTTTGTTTTATTGTGACTAATTCCTCAAAGATTACACTCACTTGTCCATCAAATAATTTTAAAGAAAAGTATAAGCAGGAACAATCACTTAAAAGACAGGAAAAAAAGGACAAATATGTATATCTGATGAACTGACAAAGTCAAGTTTTGAAGCAAAAATGCTAACATTTCACAACCAGTTTTTAAAAAGTCAATATTAGTTAGTTTCCCAGTTTTCACAATTTATATTAATATAAAACAATTCTTATATTTTTGGACTAATTTCTTTCCTGGCTATTTTTCTGACATTTTGTCCACTTCCGATTTAGTTATTTTTACATTTTCATAATTCCCCAAAAAACTTTTGATAACTTAATATCAGTTCGGATAAGATGTCATTTCAACATGTCAGAAAATACAGACAAAACGTTCTCAGTATTTATCATCATCCAAGTGAGCATGTTCAAATTGTTATTTATTTGTCTGACCAACAGAAACCACAAAATGGACAGGTATTGGCCCACCTGCTTTTCTTTCATTAGAAGGGAAAAAAAAGAACTGTGCAAATGGAGGTGAAAGGGACAGAGACATACAGGTGTTCCGAAGCACCTGGTGCCCAATTTTTGCGATTTTGGTGATTACCTGCGGCAGTGACACACAACTCTGATGCAGGGAATGTAAGTTGCCTTTAAAGCCTGGTAAAAACGGAATAAAATGTCATGCAAATCTGAAAACAGAGATTTTCAGATCAAGAGAGACTTACACTTCACGTGGATTTCCCCATGCCCCATAAACTTCTGCTTAGAATCCATTCTGCGGAACTTGACTGAGAATCTCAATGCTTTAAGGTTTTCTTCAGTATCAAAGCAATTCCTTAAACTTTGACAGGATGCCCTATGGCGCATCGCAAAGAAGGACTGGTAATGGATAATTCGGCGTAGTTAAACTGTCAGAATTTAAATAAATATATGCTAAAAAACGACGCTAAATGTGAAACTTAACTGTATAACGTTAAGTCCAGCGACCGATCAATACCAAATATGGCGGTTGTATGACCCATCCCCCGCCCTTTCCGCTCAAACAGCCAATCGGCTTCTTAACTACAGCCGAACGGAAAACAATCAGCCAATCGGAGTGAGGGGTCAGGACAAGTCGTTTCTCAGTATACGTACCTGTCCGTACTTGCCTACTTGTTAGCAATAACTGCTGGTGTCCGATGACAAGATGGCGCCCCAGTTCGGGTGTCTTGTAACATTAAAAAGTAACGTTTTTGAAAGACTTTTAATATTAACTTTTCTCCTTAATGACATTTTTTCCCCAGAAAAAGACTACTTTTATTGCAAACAGGTAGCTTTGTTTGGGATGCTTTTTAAAAAATTTTTTTATAGCCGGGTAACCAATTAGTTCACAACACCTGCGCCCACGTTACTGCACTTGAGGCTAATGGTAAGATTTATTAACAGAAATATATGCAGTCCATTATCAGTTTGGTAAAAGTTATAAACGTTAGCTTTAAAGATTAGCATTTTTCAGGTAATGTACCACGAGAATGCACAGAGAATACTGCACAGAGAATCCTGCTAGCAAATGTTGTTTTAGGAAAGCTCAGCGTTAGCTTAAATGTTAGCATGACATTAGCTGATCGCTATCGTTAGCCCTGTTACAAAATATGTTTATAATTCGAGACAACCTGATGTTTAAGATCCTTATCAGTACATTTAGTCTGTCAAGACTAAATAAAGAAAATGTTGAGTGTGTGTGGTATTACTAATATTCCTTTACTTGATGTTTTTGAATTTTATTTTATCTGTCTTTTAAGCTAATTAATGTAGGGCTGCATTTAGCTTCTGTAAACTTTTAAAGTTGATGACTGGATGTGTGAAATTATTTATTGATTAACTGGTTGTTTGATATTCATTAATCATTACATAAACTGACTTATACTGAGCTGTAACCTGCTATCAGAAAAATAGTACATGTATTTGACCTCTTCAGAGTCAGTAAATGAACATACACTGAAAGTCATGTGTGTGTATTATTGTGTAATATCTTCTGAGCGGGGCTGGCTTTTGCCTGCCCAGGTACTATAGATAGAAATTAGCTTTCAGGTGGAACAGATGTTTAATATACTGTGGAGCCTTACGGTTTCTCTGTTTTCATTTTAAGTCTATTTGGGAAGGTTTTGAGCCTCATTGTTGTGGTTTTCAGTCTTTTTGTGGCAGTTTTGAGTCTTGTAGTCAAAGTTTTTTCGTGGCGGGTTAGCATTTGTTTGAGTGTCTTTGTGACTTTTGTTTTGTGTATTTTTCAGCCTCTTTGTGATTGTTTTGTGCCGGTTTGTGTCGCTTTTGTGTCTCTGTGGTCGTTTTGAGTGTCTTTGTGGTGGTTTGCATCTTTTTGTGGCAGTTTTGAGGGACTGAATTGCATCTTGATATTTGCTAAGATTCAACAAATTATTGTTTTTTAAATTTTTTATCTGCTTATCTTGTCCATTTTGCAGCTCTATTTGTGGGGGTTTGTGTCTCTTTGTGTTCATTTTGCTTGTCTTTGTGACTGTTTTGTGTCTTTCTGTGGTCATTTCCGTGTCCTTGTGTTGTTTTCCAACTGTTTTTTGTTTCTTTAAGTCTCTCTGTTGGTAGTTTTTGCATCTGTTTGTGGTTGTTCGAGTATTTTTGTGGTGGGTTTGCATAGGGGAAACCGGGGATGGTAGTGTAGGGTAGAACATAAGATATCTCCACACCAAAGCAAGTGATTGCATTAATTAAAATTATTGAAACCAACCTTTGAATTATTCGTCCACCGATATCATTTCAGAGTCAGCACAATAATTCTAATAAACTTTTTGCTCTTGGTGATCAGTCAAGAGTGTTTTATAATGTTGGGGAATTAACTTAGAGCCGCTTAGGTAACTAAAGATTGCATACGTAAAGTGACTGAAAGTAAGATATAGAAAACACCGGAAACAACTGTATACACACGAAACATTTTTTACTGACTAAACAAACAAATAACAACAACAAACATGAACTATAAAACACAAACAATGATGAAAATGCTGATTGGGAATATGAGTCTGAAAAAGCGAATGTTGAGCAGAATTGTGGTTTGGAGACTTAAAAGTCTTTTCACCCGAAGCAGCAGATAACTGTTAGATTTGGAATATTGGTCTGAAGGCCAATTGTAATCATGAAACACCCGTTTAGAGACAGAAGCTCGATACTTGCAGTTTCCTTGGCGAGTACAGCGACGTCTGATGTTGGGGCAGACGTGGCCTTCAGCTTGACTTGGATCAGGGTGTGGCAGTTGGAGTTGATAACATGGAGACCAAAGTGGGAGATTCTTTGTCCGGTAGAAAATTCGCAGTCTTTCAGGTGAAATGCCTTTTAATAGTAAAACTACTGACCAATCACAAAGAGCTCCGCTCCCAGAGGGGCTGTTAGATATGACGCCCCAGTATCACAGGGTGGTCATGAGGTGGTCAGAGTTTTGCTCTGAAAGTAACAATGTTACTTTAGAACTATATGTACTTCTACTGATACAAAGCTAAGCTTATTGGAAATGAATGTGTCACATGTGTAACTTCACAGGGAGTCTAAACATGACTGAGCTATCTTGTACGGTTACAGAAATAACACAATGCTTAGGATCTGGTTATATAACAAGCTGATAAATTAAAGAAGGACTTATCCAACTGTAATCAAGCTTTGGGGTATTTATCAGAATATTTAGATCCTCTGGTGCTTTTTTCTATTGTCTGTTGATCGCATTCCTTTAAGTCCAGAGCAGAGAGATGAGGAGGGGTAGAAAAAATAAAAATCACCCATTTGGTTAGTCAGGCTCTCCTTGAGTGTCTCTTATGTGATAGTTCTCTTTGAAGCACTGGTGGTGTGATCTGTTGATCTTCAACTTTCTGGGTTCTGGTTGTCCTGGCTTTGGCTCCAGCCCGTCTGCGAGGCTGATCTGCACACACCTATGACCTGCAGGAATTCCTGTTTCTTTTGGGCAGCTGTGTTTGTTCATATCCTACAGTAGTAACACTCACGGTTTGACCAATTAGAAATGAGCTGTGGTGATGTGATCAATACAGTCCATGTCCACTTACACGTTGAGCTCACTCACTAAAATCGAGGAGGGGAACCGGCAAGATGGCGGCCCACATGCTTGTTCTATAGTGAA